CTAAGTAACGTGAAAGTATTTCTCATATATTATTTTCTTCGCCAGTGATAAATTACAAACAAGTAATATTATTGTCAGCAAGTTTGTCAGCAAGTTTCGAAGAAAAGGAAATTTAATGAATTTCTGATTCTTTTCGGACGATTGTGTTTTAATTAACCGTTGACTGAGTCAACCGTTGTGTTATATGTATTTGCATCGTTTCGTTTTCTTAGCGTGTCATTATGTATTTTTGGATCGTGGGATCTTTAATCTCCGCTTTTCGTATATATACAAAATTTATTTCATGGCCGCAACTTTGTCTGTCTTGCAACATCGAAGTTTATTACATACGGCAGTGTTTATTATCACCCTAAGTAACGTGAAAGTATTTCTCATATATTATTTTCTTCGCCAGTGATAAATTACAAACAAGTAATATTATTTGACTAGAACTGGCAGAAAGTTTACTTTTTTTATATAATATAAAGTTATTCGATATTATAAAAGGAAAACTACCAGAAATTACCAATGGAATTTCGCCTCTTCTCTCGACAGGAGTAAAGTCAGCGGCGCACGATACAATTCTTCCTATTAGACTGTTTGCTCCTTTGCTGGCTAGTGAAAACCATTCAGGATTTTCCATGTGGTAGGTCAGATGAGTTAAGATTGCATCCTAATTGGCTCTCACCAGTCAGCAAAGGTGCACGCAAGCAAACCAGCAAGCAAGAAAGCATCGTGTGCCGCTGGCTTACCTAAATTTCGACTTACTTCCGAGTTAATGAATATTCAATTAAAACTGTCGGAATTGCTCGCAATCCTTTTTAATCACACTTCATAACTCCTCATGCAAAATGCAAACGATTAAAAGCTTTGTTTAATTTATCCATTCCGGCTAAACGCCAGATAGAAAAATAATTAATTAATTACAAGTAAACGAATGACTCGCAAGCCTTTTCAATTGCACTTTATAAACGTCTTAATACGAAATACAAATGATTGCAAATAGGGATTATTTACAAATACATTAATTTCCGGTCAAGTGTGAGCGAATGTAAATAATCTAATATTGGTACAGTGATGGACAGAATGGCTGCAACGCTTTTTTAAAGTGAATTTAGGAACGTGCATTTAGATTCAGATTTTCGTTTTAAAACATTTTCTCCGAGGAAAAGCTTACTTGGGAAATAAATCGAAACACTCGAAATGGTTTCGGAATGGCCATCGAGTAAAATAATCCTCGGGGAAGACGATTTGGAAACGTAACCCTGAATCTAAATGCACGTTTCTGAACTCACTTAATGAATTTAGAAACGCGCATTTAGATTCATGTTTCCGAAGCATTTTCTCTGAGGAAAATTTCACTTGAGAAGTAGATCGAAAACGCTCAAAATGGTGTCGGAATGGCCATCGAGTAAAATATTCCTCGGAGAGGAAGATTTCTGAAACGTAATTCCGAATCTAAATGCACGTTTCTAAACTCATTGAAAAGATAAAGTGTTGCAACCATTCAGTGTATCACTGTACAACGTGACAATAATAGATTTCCAGTTCCTGATGAATAGTGCGTAGGTATAGTATATTATTTACGATAAGCCGCCGGGGAACGGACGCGGTTTTAACGAACGCTTTATGATAAAGGTACGCCATAAACATCGGGTGATTAAATCCTAAAACTCCCGCGGGGCCTTACCAGGAAACGACACTTAATCCGTCTCGCTTAGGAGACGGGCAGATAAGTATTTTTCATTCGCCGCACGATGATTAGTGTGTATTCGCTACGCGTCAGTTCGTTTCCTCCTCGATCGAGCAATGTAACCGCAAGGTATCCCAGATGGTTGTCGCGTACCTTTTACGCGATACTGCGACAATTAAATTTGCCTTTTCCTTTTGTCATACATTTTATTTCTAACGTGTACATTATATCGCGACGAAGGGCCGCTCGTTACATCTGCCTCGTTATGTGCGACACAACCGCGGCGTATTACATGCCACATGCATATACAACACGGGTTAATAAATATTGGAATAATTATTTACAAATGACTTGGTCGATAAGCGCTCGATGTCAGTAATAAAACGACATGGAATGTATCACCGATCAGTGAAATCAGATCGTCATTGGTGAGCCGAGATTTAAGTTAATGATAAGAAATGATTCGTCATTTAATTCTTAGCAAGTGAACGCGCATCGAGAAATAGCAAGGAAAGTAAGTTACTTGGAAATGAAGCGCTGAACGTTGTGCGATTTCACTGAACGTTTTGACGCGCGACACGATTATGGGAGGCGCATGTCTTTGTGCGAGAGCAAACCCAGTGAGAAACGTTTCGTCGATTGACGTCGAAATGATGTCGAATCGACGTCAATTCGACGGTGTCGATGTCGATTCGACGTCGTTTCGACGTCAATCGACGAATCATTTCTCACTGGGAAGAAACCGAGAGCTTGTCAATCGACGCTCGCAATTGTTATTTACAAATCAGCAGGCACTCTCACACGTATTTTCAGACTTTACACAAACCGCGCATTCTGGTGAAAGAATAACACGAAACATTTCGTTCGACACTTCAGATTGTCCTCTCCATATATTTAATATGTCGGTCTCTTCCTCGAGCGTGGTCATTCACTTCTTTTCTTTGCTTGGTATCAGGAAGCACAACAACCCACCAACTGAAAACGATCAATGATTTATGTTTTTATTTCAATTATTTATTTTGTATTTCTTCCCGGATTTTGTTATTTTATTTCAACATCGCTAAGTTAAAAATTAAAACAGTGAGCTCACCCGAGTCGAAATTTTGGTACTATTTTGACACTTTTAAGGATAATTTACACCTACTTAGCTGATCTATACACCTACATAAATCAGCAATAACCTACCTTGATGGCATTATACTTTTTACTCCTCCCATGAATCTTTAATTCTAAAAATTTACTTTAGCTCCTACTTAAAAGGACCCACTTTAATACTGAATTGGCAAAAGTAGAAGTTTCCGACACTATCAGTTTGAAAGTAGGAGTAAATTTTGTACTTGCCGTTCGACCTCTTTTACTGTCTTAAGTTCTACTATATAATAGAATTAAAGGTTGAACTTAGGGCCAAAAGTTCGACTCGGGTATTGTGAACCCAACTGGCAAATTTTATTTAAATCGTCACAACGTTTCGACCTTACTTCAGGCCCTTTTCAAGTAACAGTACAAATAAGAAAACAAGAAAAATTCATAGACAAGTAAGTCGTCGTCATTCGTGAGATAGAGTCAAAAGATAAATTGAGCTCTCGAGTTGACTGTTTTAATTTTTAATCATCACTGGCGGCTATAAGCGACAATCTCTTTCGTCTCCTAAATTAACTCTCTCCGTTAACTCGAGTTTTAGGAAAGACATTCGGTCAATTTCAGCAATAAAAAGATGAAGGTTTTTTTCCGGGCGATGCCACGTTGATTTTACATCAATGTCGAAGCGAAGGGGACATCTCGTTATACTTACACATGGTGACACCGGTCACCAGGAATATCGGGATCTTGCAGCTTAGGTCTAGCAGCATGCCGAACGCCAAATTACTCGCCACCGCGCCGGACCTTCCCAAGCACACCATCATGCACACCGCGGCGGCGGACACGTGCGTAGGCAAAATGTCGACCGCAACACTGGTAATAACGAAATTCGCCGTGGCCAGCATCACGGAGAATACGCACGCGGTAACCAGGATCTGCAGCGAGGATCTCACGAAGTACATACCGAGGGCAGCGATGCTAGCCACCAGCATCGTGGTCACTGAAGGTAAGAAACCGTCATAATTATGTTAGTCTTGTTAAAGAGGGACAAACCGAAAGAAAAATTAATTATGCACGGAGGGAATTTTCTCTTAAAATTTATCCTGAAAATCATGCAATCGTGGGACAACGTGGCATTTCGAAGAGTTTTACGAGAGTCTTCTGAAATTTTACCGTACGTTTTACTAGTAAATATGGTTTTCGGGGTAAATTTAACAAGAAAATTCTCTCTCCGTGTAGACAACCCTAACGTATAAGTAACGAATGACACTGCAATATTATTAAAAAATTGTTTCCCGTCCTTACTTGGCATTGTTCGACGATCAACTCGATTTGCTAGATACCCGGAAGCGATATTGCCGAACAGGCAAACGGCGTTGATCGTCAGAGAGTTAATGAACACCCGCTCGTCTATGTGCGGCTTGCAGTCCGTAGTGACTCCATTTGTCAAAAGGAGGTACCGCTCCTCTGGAACAGTGTGGTTTAACGCCTGCGTATCGTGTATCAGCTCGCAGACTGTCACGGACGCATTCGGATGCGATTGGTGATAGTTCTCGAAGCGATTGAACAATTCCGGTTGCCAGAGATTAACGCCGTAGTACCTAAGTACAATGAGAAAAAAAAGATAGAAATTATTTCTTATTTTATGATAGCGACATATATTTTTTATTGAACAGTATTTTATATTAACAGCACGTTAAATTCTTGATTTAACAGTATCTTGTGTCAACAGTTAAATTCTTATAGCATTGCGATAAAAAAAATAATATAAAAATAAGGAAGAAAACGTGTGTTTAATATATAGAAATACTTTTTGTTGATAAAATTTAACAAAAAAGAGCCACTCACCCGAACATGTTCGTGAAATAAATCGTCCATAACAGGGAAGCGTACTTTAAGAGAGGTGGCGACGCAATGGTGCGCAATTGCCACCAAATATTTTTCAGCAATTCCGTCAGCATATCCGACGAGGACAACGGTGCCTTGTCCTTTTCTACTTCGAACACGGCGTCGGACAGAAGCTCCTTCACCTGGTGGTGGCGTCGCGTTAATTAAGGAAAAGGCAATACAATTCGCAGGTGAATCCGACGCTGCCAATTTAAAACATAAAAATGACCTCTTAGGTACCTACCGGAAACTCGCTTTTATCGCGGCCGGTGTTCACCGCGTAGATCGTTCGGAGAATCGCGAGGGCCTCGTCGGTCTTGCCTTGCGACACCAGAAACTTCGGACTCTCCGGATACGTTAGGGTTACGATGGCAATAGCGAAAGTTGGCAGGCTGATACTGCCAAGGAACAATCTCCAAGAATTGTATCGAATGCCGTAAAACTCGAAGGATATCGGCAACGGTATGATTATCCATGCTAAACCTGCGTGAAACGAATCATTAAGTTGGTACTGTGATAGTTTGCATATTTTAGCGTTGCGGCACATTCAATTGTTTCTCTAAAAGGGTAGCTTGGTTCTGGATTTTGTATTTATTGATAAAACAGAGAGCCATTACCTGGCAGTATCATCCAAGAGAGTGTGAAGAAAAAGCCCACGAAGCAGATGCTCTTCGCTCTGTATCTTTCTGCATGAAACTCGCCGAGGTACATGTACACCAAGGAACCGGGTCCGCCCATCCTAAAAGTAGCCCGAAAAATCGTATCGAAGGCACGATTGGAACGACTCGCACAAATTCGTCATTTCATTTATAAATTTATAAATAGATATTACTAAAGCTTTAGATATTACTATACAAGTAGATATAAATTTACAAATGGAATTACAAGCTTGTACTTACAAGAATCCGCTTATGACTCTGAACATTAGCAGCAGCTTGAAGTTTGGCGAGAAGCTTGCGACTATTGTAATGATACTGTCGGTGAAGAGATTTAGCAGCAGGATATTTCTTCTTCCGTAAGCACCCGCGAAGACCCCCCAGAAAAGAGCGCTGATCACCGAGCCTGAAGCAGTCGAGCATCCGTGAATTAAATAACATATTATTTTCATTATCTTTATTATTTTAAGAAAAATGAATTCAAATTATCTCTTACATTATTCATAATTCGAAAGATATGTTTTATCATGTCGATTATCGAAACTATTTCGTACGAAGCTTAAATAGTATACACGTACACTCGTAGATTCGAGATATCTTGTAGTGCAGACGATAGCATGAATTGAACGTTGCTATTGACAGAATCGTCACTCGATTCGACCATAACGGATATTTTCTGGTCAAGTTTAGCTGCGGCCACGCGGCGATGAGAGGCAAGGTTTCATTCGCGCGAATGGAAGACGACGAATTAATTTTAATCTGTGTGCCGCGACGAGTGGGACGCCGCAGAAAAACTCGCCCGCGTAGTCAGTGCTTAATTCGTCTTTAAGATAAAGAGACATCAACGCCGATGAAGGCAAGCTCCCGGAATAGGAATTTAAGACTGTAATTACAGTAAATCCTCGATTTAACAGACCCCGATGTAACGAATTTCGAATATAATACAGTGCACTGATTAGTAATAGTTTTAATAAATTAAAAATTAAAAGGAGAGGATTCCCAGCGAGAAATGACTTGTCGATCGACGAGTCATTTCTGACTGGAATTTTCCTTCGCTTCTACTTACATGAACAAAGACTCCTGTACTATTACCACTATGGTTGCGACAAAATACTCTTTAACACTACACTATCAATAATAATCAAAAATAAATATTTAAATATTACATATTTTATTATAATTATAATTTTATATTGAGTACTATATCGACTAAACTCTTTCACAAAGTCGTATCTCGAGTTTACGCAATTTTCAGTTTTTGTAAACTGACTCATTCTGGTCCAGAAAAACAGAAAATTGTGTAAAATCGAGATACGACCTCGCGAGAGAGATCAGTCGATATATTGTATTAATTCTTATAGTTTCTTATAGTTTCTATATTACAAATAATAAAAAGTGGCACAAATAGTCCCTTAAGTTGCCTTCGATTTGACTTTCGCCATTTAACAAATGCCTTTTCTCCCTATTAGTCTGTTAAATCGAGAGTTCGCTGTAGGTCAAAGAAAGCATTGAATGTATAAGTACATGAGTTTAGGAAACTTTGCGATTCAGAGGTGTAGACGGGTGTCTGGCAATTCTACCTATGAGAAAAGCGACGTTCAACAGTCCCTTTTCTTCGGATCTCATGTGCAGATCGCACTCGGCTGACGGCAGAATGTACGCGTTCGCCCCGTACTGACAGCCGACGCAGAAGAACATTATACCGCAAACCAGCAGGAAAGTGTATTGGTATCTTCCATTTCCTACGAATAATTGCAGCAAATTTTAATAGGGATTGCAAATTGCGCAACTATTGCTAATCCACATGTATTTTTAACATCATTTAGGGCCGGTTGTTCCATCCTCCTGGTAAGTTAACTAATAGTTAAGTCATACATATGTCTTTGTTTCTCTTTCAAATTAAACAAAGATAGGTATGTAATTTAATCATTAGTTAGCTTAGCAAGAGGTTGGAAAAATCGGCCCTCAGAGATTTATTTAACGCTCGCACAACGAGAACGACTTACCACATATCTCCATGGCCTTCTCAAAGTCCGCGGTACCTTCCTTGGTCCCATGATCCTTGGTCTCCTTTTCTAAAAGGCAAAAAAAAGTTCCTCTGAATTAATTCGTCAAGAAATTCCCCAACAGGATACTAATAATGATAAAACGTCTAAAATTGGATTCTCTTTATACAGGGTGTCCTGAAATTCGCGAATCAAAATACCATAGCAAGAATGTCGTCGAAAAAATAAATTGAAAAGTTATTTGCCATTTTTCGTTCCGAGCAGTAGTTTTTTTAGATAAAAAGGTTCAAAACAGGCCACTCATACATTACGGTTGAACGGAAACCTGTCCGTGAGTCGCGCGTCGATAGTTTAGTGCACTAACACTATCGACGCGCGACTCACGGACAGGTTTCCGTTCAACCGTAATGTATGATTGGCCTGTTTTGAACCTTTTTATCTAAAAAAACTACTGCTCGGAACGAAAAATGGCAAATAACTTTTTAATTTATTTTTTCGACGACATTCTTGCTAAAGTATTTTGATTCGCGAATTTCAAGACACCCTGTATATAAAGTCCGAGATATCCGCGATTCGCGACGTGAACACGTATTCTATATCGCGACGAGTATTCACGTGTGAGAATTCGTGCGAAATTGGAGCAGAGAATAGATTGTTTTATAAACGAGCATGGCATGCATCTAAACGAGGGTATCCATTTGTATTTCGTTTTTTTCTCTCTCTTTTGATAAAGCGGCAAAATTTCGCGATATGTCACGCCCATAAGTTGATTACGTATGCTAAAATTTTCCTACGTTCGTCTCCAAGCGAAATTGTGAAATTAAAACAATGCGCGATGCGTTTCGTAACGGACGTGATCCGAAGGAGCGTATTTCCAGTGTGCGATCCCCGAGGAAGCATCGACGGTATTAACGGGGATCGGCTTTTTTTTACGCCAAATCGGAATCAAGTAAATAAAAGGCGGACGTCAATAGTCGCCAGATTGCACAAGTGTACTTATCATTGCCTTCATTAATTGAGCGCAATATCGATCGATAAAGAGTTTATTGCACGTGTCGTCGCTCGGAAACAAAGTAAACTTTACCTA